CATTAAGTACCACTGACCAAGAGCGTAATTAAAGAATTAGCTACCCATAGGGAAAAGTCTCTTATAAAAGATTACTTCATTTAGAAGAGAAACAAATTTCAAGTTCATACTTAAATATATTGGAAAATTATGGACAGTTGCACTCCAATATTCAGGTTGCAAAAGGACCATATTCAAAAGCCAGGACCAACTGCTTCATTATGCCATCGCAGGGAAAGAAAAGCCAGTCATGATGATCACTTTTTTGCTATATTGCTGCACTGCCACACACAGTCAATCTCTAAGATGAGCAGCCATCATAGCTATGTGAAAACAGCATAAATAAGAACTGAATCCAAGCAGTTAATGGCCTAAATTAAAGTCTTGTAATTCCCTACTACAGAGGCTTGAGAGGCAATGCTATATTGTTAACAAATATCAATCTGATGTGCCATTTGTAGGTTCTACATTTCAAGAACCAAAAGCTTCTTACTCTAAAGTTTCTTATATGGAAGAGTCAGAAAATCCAGTACAAAAACAAACCACTGTTCAAAAATTAATTGCTTATTTCCTCAAGTAGTAACGAAGGGAATGCTTAATACATTCAGCTTTAATACAATAAATAACAATTTAATACAAAAAAAAACAACTCCTCTTTAACACAATACAGTTTTAACAATCTAAAATAAACCATACAATATGCATTCCCACTGCCAACATTTTCTGTGAAAACAGTGTTTTAAAAATACTTTTGCTTCTTGGTGCCATCATCTGGCAATCTGTTATAGTACAGTTCTGATTCCAAGTATTTTCTAGCAAAACAGCTCTGCCCCTTATCCCAAGCAGGGGAAATACTCACATCACTCGTGGAGACGGTTCCTGCTTCCACAGAACCCCCTGTACCACGTAGTTTCTAGCACATACAAAAAAATTTAAATCAGAGCTGTCCCTTACCCTGACAAAAAAATTGTTATCAAATCTCTTCCAATCCCCCCATCCTTCCAAACACACACAAACAAACAAAAAAATTAGATACCATTTTTCCCCCTCAATATATTACAATTTGGTATTTACTTTTCAACCTCACATTATCATGTCTAGAAAAAAAAAAAAAAATCATGTCAGGATTTATCTCCAAGCATAACAAGTTTCCTTCTCACCCCGCCCTCCCCCTGCAAGCACAAGTTTAGAGGAATGTTGTGGGGTAAGGAAGGAATAAACACCAAGAAAGATTTTTCTTTGAAGGACAAGCCAGAATCAAGCAGCTTATAATGAGCTAATGCCATAGAAAGCCTGTTCAGTTTATTCAGTTTCAAGTGTCATGAATTCTAAAGAAGTTTTGTACTACAGCAAACTAGAAAAAGGTCTTATGCACTTCCCACTGCATTTAATTTTTCTGCATTGTAACAAGATTTGAAAAGCAAAACAATACAAGAAGACAAGAACTTCTCATCATGTATTTTCTCAATTTGTGATATTACGAGTATTAATCAGCAGAAAAAAAATAAAAAATGAAATGCCTTTTTTTAAAAAAAGAAATCACTTTAGACTTCAAGGAGTGGATGTTAAATTAAGTCTTAAATTATAAAGCAAGTGCTTGAAGAAAAAGTGACCCTCGACAAATATGAAATTTCATTTAAATAAGAAAAAGAATTTCTGTATGTACAACCTATATACGCATTCGTATTCTTTTTCTAAAAAATAGTTTCCAAAGTCACTGTAACGTTTAAAAAGAAGTAGCTTTTTACCTGGGAACTAAGTTGTGTTTTGATCCAGTTGAAGTAGTAATTTAAGTCACTTCCTTCCATAAGTTCTCTCCCCCAAGCAGCCAATTTGGCAATAATTCTTGCTGCCTGAAAGCAATAAACAGATTTCAAATGCAATACAAAATTCCAGATTTAACATCAGAACAGTGTCCTGTATGCTTTGGAAGACAAGTCTAGATAGTCCCTTAAAATAATTCTACCCTCTAGATAGTCCCTTACAAAAATTCTTTCCCATGTCAAAGGAGCTTTGCACCTAGTAGTTTCACCCTTCAGCTTTCTCTGTTGTTTCTGCTCCCCAGATAATGCTGATGCATTATCACAAGGTTCAGACACCTGTACCTGATGAAGGGTTTTACTGTTGGCAGATTTTTGACTTAGTGTCCTACAGAAGTTGCTCATTGTCAGAAACTCTTCCCTCCTCCTCATTTCTTTGCTGTCTTGGGAGCTTCCTCTAATGCCTACTTGGCATGCTTACTTTAAGCAATTAAGACATATACCAATGCAAATCATCATAAAATATTAAAAGTTGTGTTCTTAAATTGAAGAAAGTAATGACGCGGAAGGCAGAAGATTCAAGCCCAGAAAAAGAGCAGGAAATGAATAAAGAAATAAATACATTTAAAAATTAAGTTAAAGAATAAAAAGGGGTCAGATTATTCTTCCTATACGTATCAGGAAAACTTAAAACAAACCAGGACAGTGTGTCTGTGCCAGCTTATACAAACTAAATTTAAGTGACTATCCTGTAGCCTGCAGAATATTTGCAGAAATATTTGAGCCAGCTCTAAAGCAGTCTAGCCAAAGAACTACTGAGGCAAAGGTTAGTTTGCCTGAACATAACTTCTTGATGCAATTACGAGAGACACTTTCCCAATGATTTTAGATACCTTCCCACATTGCAGCATGCAGAAGTGTGGCACCATTGCAGACTCCTGAAAGGAGCATAGCAGACATCCTGGTACAGTGACCTCTGCATTCAAAAGAGAACCTGACACAATCCAGTGTGGTCAAGCACTCCCATAAAGTCCCTTTGGCTCTGAAACATGAGATAGTAGAACTCTAGGCTACTGTGTTCCTGAGTTAAAACTGCTGCCTGACCCCAAAGCAGAAATTAGTCATAGTTAGAGTCTGGATCTAGACACAGGGGACATTTTGATGGGCCTGTGCAGACACAATCTGGTATTAGTCATTGCCTACATTGGGAAGAGAAAAAAAAAAAAAAAAAACCAAAAAAAAAAACACCCACCAACAAAAGTTTAGCACTTTTTTTCCCCCCCCCCAGCTTAAAAAAAAAAAAAAAAAGTGTTAAAGCTTCAAAAAACCCACAGATATTGGTATTAAAATGCATAGTTGGTTAAGTGGAGCAAACTGATGTTTTAAAGTTGATTCATATTGCATGAGATTCTCCCTTAAAGGAATATATTCATGTATTTGAGGCAGCAAAACATAACAATGAATAACATATCTATGAACTGTAAAATGCTGCTTGCATAGCCAGGCAGTGAACCACTAAGATTAAAAAAATACTTAATCTGTGGGACACTTCCCCTGAGAACAGGTTAGCTCACTGTTCAGCCACAGTGGTCACAAACACAGTAGCACTGGCCATACCTAAGGGACCAAAGCTCCTTTTAGCTAAAATCCATCCCCTAGTGCTGCCACCAGAGCATAGGGCAGACCTGGTATGCTTTCTCTCCCTTCCTCTCTGCCATGTTTTTTTTTTTTCTTTTTAAATCATACCATGTCAGCATAAATCTACGTTAACTGAAGGACAGTTTGTAGTCATGCAGCTTTTGTCCTCTTGAGACCATAATAAGGGCACAAGCTACAGCAATCAGTAGGAATTGACAGTAATATAACCATATTTACTCACACAAAGAAGTTGAGATGAAATAGTTCTCAGCACCGATGACAGAAGAATAACAAGAATTCCAAAAGCTAATTTTGCCATTAGACCTGCTTTAATGTTAATTCATATACACCAGCAACAGCCAGTGACCCAAAGCACAGCAGATACCATATAATGCACCATAGACATTATTTCTTCCTTAGAATATTTACAACCCATTCACAGCAGGCCACATGCAGCAGTAATTTAAGCATATGAGAAAATAAGTTCAGAAGTAAGTTCAGAAATATAACGATAACCTCCCTTCACTTGGGGAAGGCTTAAATTCCAATATCTGTAAAACTTAAAGAATAGTGGCTGGCAATTGTTGCAAAAGTTATTTTTCTAATAACTGTACCTAATTAACTAACTCTAAGATCCTTGCTTTTTTGAGCCCTAAAATCTGCTATAGTTTCCCAGAAAGCATAATATTAACAAACTATGTATTTCTTTTTAAAAAGAGGTCAAGTGAAGCTTCCATCATGCTTAATGTATCTAGAGTGTACGAAAAGTTTCAACCAAGGCAACAGTTTATTTTACACACTTTCCTTCCTCTACCATGCTCAGGGACAGGTCACAGCCTACCATGTGCACAGTGAAGAGGTCTTGGCGATTCAGCATTGGCAGGAAGTAGGACCACGCAGTGTTCTTGCCACGCTTGGCATAATCAAAGAAGATACAAACGTGCTGACGATTTTCCTGTAAAAACAAGGAGAAAAGAGACTTGTAAAAACATTCCAAATAAGGCAGTTATTTTCCCTCATATATTGTTAGAGTGAATCCATACCATAGTAGTCCATAGACAGTTTTCTCAGGTTGACTACTACTTGTGCATATAATCTATTTCAGTGCTCTTCATATTGGAAATGAAGGAGTATGGGGAAAGCAAAGCTTCAAACCTACTTATCTCAGTACTCCAACATTTGCTTGCGTAAAGATACATATATGCTTTTGATCAGTCAGACTGAGGGACTAGCTACTATCTTCAGAGACAAACAAGACTCTTTCAATTACACCTGAATAAAAGCCAAGCTTTCCCTATGCTGTTACTTCCACACAGGAGCCCTCTGTTCAGCTTGCTGAAGAGAACAATTGGTGAAACTTTAAAAATGGAAGGTGGCCATGACTATTCCCACTGGGAGAGCAAGCTCTTCTGTCCCAGAATTAACCTGTATTTGTGCGATTGTCACCTCAGGCTACCTGAACACTTGGGCCACTCCTGGTGGCTAAGACCTCCCAGAAGCCTGTTCTCCAGAACATGTAGGCTGAAGCACAGGATGCCACAGGTACACAAACAAAGCCACTCCACAGAATTGCTTTGAACATTTAACCTGATGCGCACTCTGCAAAGCAGCTATGCTGGCTCTCCATAAGGCAGAGCGAAGGAGGAGACACAAAACCTAGAGGAGAAAGAACAGCTCTTATTTCCTAACAGCCTGGCAGACACACATTCTTCCCCCAGCCCAAATAATAAATAGCTTGCACTCTTGGCCTACCTCAGCCTGAGGCAGCTCCGCATACTGCCTACCCCTCAGTCTAGGGCATGTGCTTTGTCTAATCTAAAAAGATGTCTGCCCACATTAAAAGCCACTACAACCAAACACACAACACATATCAAGGAAGACAAAAATGATATATAGACAAGCAGCCCTGCAACTAGGAGACTTAGAAAACATGAGAACATTACCATCTCTGCTATTTATTTTTTTTGAATTTTTCATGCTCCTCTAATTGAAAGGGCTTCCTCCTCTGATATGACACCCTATTATTAACACCATGGACCATGAATCAGTTGGGCAAGCCTTTTAGTTTTGTGCTTTAACATAATTTTGTTCTAACAATCTGAATGCATCTGTGATCCAAACATTAGAATCTCACTGAATGTCAGAACTGCAGCCCTTCCTTGGAAGTACCAAAATTACCTGTACCACATGCCCTGCAAATTGCTATTCTGATCACTGACTAGGGGAGTCAGGAGTCCCTTGCTATCTGACAGTGATTAAGCTTCACAAGGATTTGAATCACAGTTTGCATGTTTAACACTTTACACGGCACTTTACACAAAGTACACCAAAAACATCTCAAAATTTCTGTTTCTCAAACTATGAAATAAAAAGCATAAGGTCTCAGGAACACAGGGCCTTGGAGCCTCAGCTTTATGAGCACTAGTTTGATGAAAAATGACAGTTTTATGAGATTTCTGTTAGCATCTACATTTGTCTTGTAAACAGCCTAGATAGAAAGATCAAAAATAACCAGATCAAAAGATCAGTTTACAACACAGGAGCAAAGCAGGAGACAGGCAAGTGTGGAAGCATAAAAGTCGAAATAATTTCATCACACTGTCAGATTAGTCTGTTTTGCTGAAGGTATAAGGTGAAAACAGGAAAAAAAATAGAAAAAAAAAAATCTATTGCCCTGAAATAGGAAGTGCAGCTCCATTTTAGGCAACTACTAACTAAACTAGTAAAAAGGAAATCCTGAAGTATCAAGCATCAATTTAGCATCTGTCATTTCTGAAAGAATATAACAAAGCAGCACCAGCCAAGTGAGCTACTTGCACTGAATATTTCACGGGCTCTCAAAGCTGTCACAAATATCAGAGACTATGCAGTGAGACAGGGGTCACTAATCCAGAAAAACTGTTACAAATATGTATCATATAATTAGATTATGAAGTGTATCACTAGGTAGTTAAGACACAAAAATTTTTGATCTTCATAAACAAACAGAACACTTATATTCTCATATGGCAATTACACTAATTTCAGTTCTCCTAGCCACCCAAAGAAATCTTGGAATCATGATCAGGTTTACAAGTAAAGATGCTGGAACAAAGAAAAAAAAAATCCAATGAAAAGAAGAATAGGGTCAGACTGACAAGAGCGAAGATGGCACTGAATTTCCACTGCCACCACCACTAGCTAACACCCTAGCAGTAGGGTCACTCAGTTACTCAACGCTAGCTACTCAATGCTAGGGTATTAGCAGAAAGGCTGCATCACAACTTGGACACAAGGACCGCCCCCCCATAAAACATTACAATCCCCATGTAATTGGTATTTTGATGAGACTAACATTTTTCATTTTCCCTGTTGACAATACTGAACATTCAGAGTTGAAATTAGAACTCACATAGTCTGTTTCTTAGGGGAATGTCCTCAACCACTGTTGTTGGTGCATATGCTTCTGTTATCTTGTATTAATAGGTACATCACGAAACAGAGGAGAAACTGACCCTCAAAAAGAGAGCCAAATGTTTTGGGTAGAAAACAGGAATTGTTCACACAGCTCAGCCCATCTTGTTAGGTCATTGCTCCAATCATACTCTCATTTGCTACTGCGAAGTGGAAAAACTGCAGAAGCAGAATTTTCTGCTTGAATAGAGTTTGCTCTCAACTTGCCCAGGTCAGCACAGCAGTCCTGACACCAGTCACTATATTCTAAATTATAAGTCATCGTATTCCAAAAAGTCCCTATTTTAAATAGTAATATTCTTTTACAATGTATTCATATATATTTCATAGGACCAAGAACTCCCATCCTACAATTAAATTACACAGTATTCCGGAGCATATTGTCTCAACATTTTAACCTATTTTGGAGAGCTGCAACTACAAGGACTGCATCCTCTTGCTGAAGGAAGCCAAATTAACACTTCTGTAGGAGAAGCCACAACAAAAAGTCAGTTACAGTTCACATGCTAGTTATGGAACAGAAGGGCCAAGGTAACAAGCCACCTTTAAACATCCAAGTTATTGCAGTAATCAAGGTTGAGAACAAATGAATTAGCATACAGATCTGTGACTCAGAGTATGAGCACATATAAACAAAACCAAAGCCCCTTGTAAAACCTTAGTTCTGACACTTAAATTCCACATACAAGACCTAAAAACCTAGAAGAATACTTTTAATACAGTATGACAAACACCTGAAGAGACATGAACTACATTGAATAGACATTCATTCAAAGACTTGAAGTGAGACAGGTTATTGACCTACTTGCAGCGTATCATCAACCATAGTCAGGATGTACTGAACTGTCTGTTCCTTGGAGATATGAGTCATCAAGTTTATAAATGTTTTAGCACACTAGAAAATAAAAGATATTAAAATTAATAATCATTTTCTTTCCTTTGGTAATAAGAAACAGGATCTCATTAACTCATAGTTAAGCCTTCAAGAAGCATTAAGCATCCCAATGTCTTATTCAACTGAAATAAGAGATGAATATGTCTAGCATTAAACCATAGAGAAAGTTTTCTGCAGCATTAATCACCTTAAAAAATATTGTTCTCTGGCTTCCAGAGACAATAACTACTTTCTAGAAGAAATCAGCAGTTTTGCACAGTGCTTTGCTGAAAGGATGCTTAGAAAAAAAATTCTCCACACATGGGTATTCTTATATGGCACTGAGGATGAGAAAAATTAAATTGGGGGCAGGAGGGAAGCATTTACCCATTCATCTCCTATATCTACCAGACACTGCAGTTTACATTCAAACCACTAAACCATCTTCTACCTCCTGAAAAAACTATTATTACTTCAGCAAGATATAATAAGCTGAAATAGTCATAACTTTGCTTTTTGTACTTCTTTCCTCAGATTCAACTAAAGCTGAAAGAAAAGTTTAACTATGAACTGTAATTAGATAGCAACATGCAAAGTTCATCATACAAGTCTGTCACCATGCACATTATGGTATTATGTGATTGGTATATAATGGACAAGTCAAAAAGTACAGCCTATAAACTAAAGTAGAAAGAAATGGGAAGTTCTGTGGCTTTTAAGCACACCTACCACCTTCACCTCCATAGCGTACTCAGTCTCAAATGGGACCAGATATTATTTGCTAGAACGCCAGGCTTCCACATTGAGGCTATACTGCTTAGAGTATCATTAAAGTGCTTTTGGGTGTCTTGCTTGGACTTCACATGCTGAACAGCATTGCTCACCTCCACCACTCTCCTATCATCCCTGTCCAGTGCAGGTGTCTTGCATCTTAGTGTCCATAACGACACTAGACCTGCATTAAGATAACTGAATCCACTCTATCAGTCAGTGGGATGCACTGATAGAATTTGACTATAACTGTTTATTTGGCTGAATGCAAAAATTACTGGCAGTACCTCTCACCAATAAACTATAGGAAAGACAGCTCAAAACTGACTGAATACGAAGTATGAATACATACAAAAGTTAACTGGGATGGGATTTAAATTAATATGTCCCACAACAGATTCCTTCAGTCAGATGATCTTTATTACTTAGTAATAATTTAATAGGTTTTTAAAATAATGGTCAATCTACATCTAACAAACTGAATCATAATACAAAGTTGAACATCAAAAAAGTTGAGTGTTGGAATATAGCTGGCACGAATTTCCCTCCAGTCTCCTCCCCTAAAAAGACATCATTAGAAGAAAAGTTACTTGATTGCCTTCTGTTTGCAACAGCTCCCGTTTTTCTTCTGGATTTCTTTTCTGCTCAAATCTTTGAATAAATTCACAGTCTTCACCAGAAATCATCTGCCCTCTGGAAAAAAGAAAAAAGATTATTCAATCATAAGCAAGATGCACACACATTAAGTTATCTGACCTTATTTTCTTCAGTTTGGTATCTCAGTATTACCACTTTACTAACTCTACATCCCCCAGTAGAATATAAAAACTTCCTCTAAGAATCTCGTGTACAAAGAATTTGAAACTCTGATGTTGGAACAATCCCTTTCCTATACATCTCCATTACTCAATGGCATTCTCCAAACCATTCTTTGATTTTCAGTGGCCAACACTAATGGTCCGCGGAAATAGAACTGAACACAGGCATCTAGCATATTTGTGCCAAAGTTATAATCCATGACATGAGTAATAGTCTAACCCAACCTAAAATAACTGCTAAAATGAAGTGTTGCTTTGAGTCTGTTATATATACCTAAGAGAATTTTAAGGCGTATGAAGGACCTGGTTCCCAATATATTTTCAGCTTTCGCAGATTAACACAGTTACACTTTTCCTCATAGTTTAAAAGTTAATCAGCATGCTAGTTTATCCAAACATATAGCAAAAGAACTCAACATAAGTGCCTAGCACTGCACTATAAGACAGTACATCTTCCTAGTTGATTTGTTGTTAAACAAAATAAATACGAAGGCAGTTACAGACATCAATGCTATTGTAGAAAGCTGCTGGCTAGATTGAAGAGTTAGCAGACTTGCTTGTATTTGAGGTGCTGGTAAGTTTTCATTGTAACAAAAACAAGTCAAGATAGTACAAGCATGACGTTTAAGTACGAAAACTGATTTATAAATGAGTAGGCAAAAAATCTAAGATTTTAATAGGCTACCAGCATTGCTAGTTAATAGCAGCGGGTCTCCAGAAAATAAGAAAATTATGCACAAAATCATTAATTAAAAAAAGTAACAGAAGCATTGTACAGTACTCCGCTTCATTGTTTCCAAGACTTATCTCCACTGACATTTCCACTGAATCAGATGCCTCCTCCACTTTTCAAAGCTATGTCATGTGAACAACTTCAACCTACTTTTCCAAGTTCCAAGGCAGTTTTTAGATGTTCTGTAACTAAAGATACCACTAAGATCCTTGTAGAGTTACAGAAACCACAATTTTAAACTTTAAGAAAGCCTCGACACAAGGCACACTTATCTATATCCAGGCTATTAGAAGAGGTCCTTGGCCAGTGGCCAAGGAAAAAGCTTACAGGCTCCTCACTTTCATTCACCATTGGATCTGGGGAGGGGCAGTACAGAGACTGGCACTGCCATGAGCAGATGAGAAGATTGGGCTTATTATTTGTTGGTTTATAGGCACCATTCAAAAGACACCTTCTAAAAGTGCCTTTAAGCGTAGGCATAAAACATGATTCAGAAACTTGTGATTCCTCTTATTATGCATTTCCTCCAGTAACTGCTCTTCCTTTTTTGTTTGAATGATTTAGCAGAAGTCATTCCTGACTTTCTTACATTTGAATCCATCTGCAGCAAATAAGAAACTCATTATTAGAGCTGCCTATCATCATATCAAGGCATTAATTCTTTTTCATCCAAGTATCTACAATACTTTACATGTATCTAAAGGATATCCAGCCAATCCAGCTGCTTAACAGTTTTTATAACATCCCAAAATTAAAAGCGGATGAGTATCTACAAGATCTGACCAACTAAAGCCACATGCCACAAGTTAGGAGATGTCTACCTTCCTATGGGAAGGCTTGCTTTTGATCCCGAGATATTTACACCACCTTTGAAGGCTGCTTCCTGCTCCCTCTCACCCCTCGCTTGTCTTTTTCCTTTTCATTTCTCCCACCCCCATGAAACTAAAACAGAGAATAATACTTTAAAAATTAGAATACACAAACACATACAAAGCAATTGAAGATTGGGAATACAAGCACAAACTAGTCACCATGCATATCACCTGATTAAACAAGTATTGCTCAGTGGAACATATGAAGTGCAGGAGTCTACAGTGCAGCAAGATGCAAGCTAAATCCTGAAGAGTTCACTTCTCCAAAGATCTCATTTACCACCTTTAGGGTCTTTTTATAAAGCAAAACCAAGCTTCAAGAGAAATGTGTGCTCAACAAGTACATTCATTCTGACACTCCAAGGCAAATGCTGAAAGCAATTTCACACCACACAACAGTGACATATCATATTTTCAACTAGCAGCAGAAATCAACACCTCAAAACTTCTAGAAATTTTGAGATAAAAAGGCAGAAAAGTCTGTACAGAAGAATTAAAGATTATAACTACATAGAGCTTCCAAAAAATAGCTCAAATTCCCCCCTCATCTTCCACTGCTTCAAGGCTTGTTAGGTTTCTTCTCCCTCAGACACAAACCATAGCTAGAATTCAAACTAGAGCAAACAGTTTTAAAGCATCAAAATTTCCCCAGCTGTCACAGCTTACCTTTGAAGTGAGCAATGAACACAGCAGGAAACATATGTAATACGTACTGTTATCACACCTAAATATTTCACTTTTCTGTGCCAACAGTATACACAAAAAACATGACAAGTCAAGAATTGGGAGTTGGCACAGTTTGACATTTAGCTTATAGTAATAACCTTCAGGAACTGAATAAGCAGTATGCTAGTTAATCTTTAGCTTGCATTGACTCTGAGAAAGAAGGGCTGCTACTAGAGTCTGCTCAGCTCAGACCATTTTACTTTGGCCCTGAGGAGCAAGCACAGCAAAAGGAAACTCAGAAGCCCCTACCTAACTCAGACTCAAACTTTACTGCAACTGATACGTATAAAAATGTTTTAAGGATTAGATATAACCATCACAAAAAGAAAAGTAATACTTTATCTTTTTTCCAAATTTCCTTCACTCAAACCACATAAAAACTATCTAGTTTAAGGAAAACAAGTTTTATCATGCCTAACTTGGTGCATTAACTTCAGGCAGGAGTTTTTTCTAAAGCTACCAAGTTTCCTACAATTCTACTCTATAGAAGCTGATAATCCCCTCTGACCTGCCTAACAGGCACATCGAAGCAAGCATCCCTCTGGCATGATGTGCATCATTTAAAACAAAAAAAAAAAAAAAAAAATCAGTCAATATAGCTGGCTACATCTGCACTAGCTGACTCTTTCAAATATTCCACTAGGGGATCTGCCTCAAAGATGCTATCATATCTAAACGTAGCAGTTTTGAGAGACACATTCAAAAAAAAAAAAGTCTAACTTTATGTTTTCTCTTTAGAAGCATGTAAATTCTTCTGATATTTGCTAGCAATAACTCACAAGCAAACCCCACTGCCAGGGGAACTCAGTTTTCCTTACAATGGTTGACAGTCTCCTGGCATAACTCCTGTTCCAACTTTGGAGCAGCCCTAACCAAGCAGCCAATCTGTTACCAGTAAATACAAACAGAGATTATAGTTATTTCAGAGCAATAATAAACAGGACCAACTATCACTGACATCCTCAGGGCACCAAGCATTGACCAGCCTCACAAAAAGTTCACAGACACCAGCAAGATACACTACAGTAGCCCTTCAAACCCGGCTAGCCTATGTCTCCTATTAAAGGAAGAAAATAACTAATGGACTGTTTTTCGCACAGGTTCCAAAGGAAAGACTCATACTTGGCACCTAGAATCCAAAAAAACTGCTTTCCAGTCAAAAAAAAAAATGTTATATTGAAAGCTGCTGACAGAAAATTAAGACAGATCCTCCAGTCCTTATCCAACACCAGAGATGTCAATGAAGCTAAAACAAAAATGGTGGTCCACAAAAAGCGTTGTCAGGCAATGATTTCTACATGCATATTCATAGACAGACACAACCAGCCCTGCATGAACAAAAGTTCAACCTTACAAACCCTTTAGTCTCAACCACCAGAGACGCTGTGAAAAGTACCAACCCATGCTCAACAGACTGGTCAAGATAATGCTGGGAATAGGGCCATTCAGCATCAACTTTAAATGAGCTCTGCTAATGGTCAGTATTCCAGAACAGCCAGTATTCCAGGAGCTCAGACTCCCCCAAAATATTCTTCCTACTAGGTAAATAACATGGCACACAAGAACTGTGAAGCCATTTGGGCAGTTTGACAAGTGACAGCTGTCCCTGCAAAACGAGGGCACCACCACTGCTCTTTTGCCTGCCTATAACATTGCACTATGAACTGAACCAGGAACTGATCTGTGAATCAGGAACTGAAAAATAACCTAGAAAAAGTGATTTTCCACAGCAGATCAGCTCCTTAATCCAGTTAACTATGTAGATACACAATTAAAAGGAGATAAGTGATACAAATGGATGAGTGGAATAGGCAAGACTAGGCTATCTATAGCACAGGTAGGCAGTTATTAATGAGCATCTATGTTAGTATTTATCAGCTTGCCTATGCTTGGTATTGTAGGCTTTTTTTTTAAAAAAAAAAAAACAATATGGAGCAGGCTATGCATATATGTATGTGTGTTTTAATATAGGAATATGTGCATATACATACACACACACACACACACACCACACAGCAATCTGAAAGTATCTTTTGAAAAGGCATGATACTGGTAACAGCAAAACACCAGCAGCATGGTTTGTACCTTCAGTTATGAAGCAACTAAGAGGGGAGCGTTTGCTGTCATGTACGAACCCTCAAGGGATGAAACTCATTCACGCTTTGCCAATATTCCTTACAGGTAGGTACTTTTCGGGAGTAACAGAAGGACTCAAGAATCTCACAGTTCCATTTCAGAGTACAGAGGAGAAAACACTAGTAAAAGTCTGTTTCTTCATCCTCTTCCCATCTCATTCACAAACCTATTTCACAGCTGATCCCTATATCCTCTTTGGACTACACTGCTCTCTCTATTCCCAAGGCTACTGCATATCTCCAGAAATAAATTCTTATTTCCTCTGAAACAGCAGCACAGATCTCCCCAAACTGAAGTCTTTGCTTCAGTCTACTCCCAGATCTATGTGTTTCAACTGCAAACAGCATTATTCTTCCTTTAAGAGTAACTGTAATAATACACCTTATTTTGCAAGGTCAGACAAAGTGCAATTTTTCTAGTACAATCTGCATCCATGCAAAAGCCTATCTCTGTCAGGAAAAAGATATATATACCAGCATTTAACACATCTCCTATTGTAGAGATGAATTAATTTAGTTCTAATTGGACTTATCCAATAGTTATATTTTTAGGTAGCATTTGAACAATAAGGAGAAAAGATTTTTACGATGCATTTTTACGAGTTTATATTATTTGTTATTGCACAGTGCTCAATTTATATCAGCAAAGCTCCTTTTCTTGCAGTAAGCCAGAAGAAAGCTTTCCCCAACTGTTTCCATTTATGGTGGACTTTTTTCCAATTACTTTCATGGCACCCTAACAGAATGTTACTCATTCTAACTTAGTTTCCAATGTAACCCAAAATACTATAACACTTTAAAAGGAAAGAGTAGGAAAAAAGTCCCATCCCCTCCCCCATCAACACATACCACAACCCAATTAATGTCAGTGATTTGTGGTAAGTTTTTACTTACTGAAGATATGACTGCCAGTTCACTTTATTTCCCCGAACTTCAGCAGCTTTGGCAGCTATTATGTTTGTTGGGACAGCAGCATCTACAGCACCTCGGATATCCATTTTAACTGCTATTTAAAATGCACCTAGAAACACAACAAAGCAGCTCTGAGAACCACTACTAAAGAGTACCCATCCAACATTTATTTTTCAAGAAAAAAAAAGAGTGATTTTAAACATCCTCTTCAGAAAATCCTTAAACAGACTCAGCTTTTCCTAAAATTGTAGTATTTCCTGAAAAAAAAAAACTTTTTTTAAAAAATTTGACTTCCCTGAAACAAACAAAACCTAGCCATACCTACACACTAAACCTTAACTAACCCCTTCCTAAAATAAGCAGCACACTAGGGCTCAACAATTTTTATACAGTCTCAATTAAGCGATTGTCTGAAGTTATTTGACTAAAACCTACTTACTCTTTTGCAATTCCCAAAGTGCTATACAAAATAAACAATAACTAAAAGCTGTTTTCCTTTCCAAGCATGAATAAAGACAAGATACAACATTTCAGTGTGCCAAACACAGACATCTCCTCCACACATTGGTGGCAATACGGTTTAGCTATTTGTCTAAGATCTCTTTTTTTCCTAAAAGTACATGAACAGTGACTTTAAAAAAGCTACAGTTTACACATATTAAAAACTAAGTTATTTATATCAAGAGAAAAATAAGTTATTCATTACCATGAACAGCCTAAACGACAAATCCAAACTCTGTATGCTGCTTACATGGACATACCCCAGAGCGTCGCCAGTGACCTTCACCACTTCTGCTTTCCCCTTCCTTTATGGCTCAGCCCCGCCCGCCTTTGCTGCCAAAACACGGAGGCTGCTGGTGGCGGCCGGGGAGCCCGCTGGGGCAGCCCC